TTACAGCGTGTTTTGGATTGTATGTGATTATTTACAGCGTGTTTTGGATTGTATGTGATTATTTACAGCGTGTTTTGGATTGTATGTGATTATTTACAGCGTGGTTAGGATTGTATGTGATTATTTACAGCGTGGTTAGGATTGTATGTGATTATTTACAGCGTATTTTGGATTGTATGTGATTATTTACAGCGTGGTTAGGATTGAATGTGATTATTTACAGCGTGGTTAGGATTGTATGTGATTATTTACAGCGTGTGTTTTATTGTATGTGATTATTTACAGCGTGGTTAGGATTGTATGTGATTATTTACAGCGTGGTTAGGATTGTATGTGATTATTTACAGCGTGTTTTGGATTGTATGTGATTATTTACAGCGTGTTTTGGATTGTATGTGATTATTTACAGCGTGGTTAGGATTGTATGTGATTATTTACAGCGTGATTTGGATTGTATGTGATTATTTACAGCGTGTTTTGGATTGTATGTGATTATTTACAGCGTATTTTGGATTGTATGTGATTATTTACAGCGTGGTTAGGATTGTATGTGATTATTTACAGCGTGGTTAGGATTGTATGTGATTATTTACAGCGTGGTTAGGATTGTATGTGATTATTTACAGGATTGTATGTGATTATTTACAGCGTGTTTTGGATTGTATGTGATTATTTACAGCGTGTTTTGGATTGTATGTGATTATTTACAGCGTGTTTTGGATTGTATGTGATTATTTTACAGCGTGTTTTGGATTGTATGTGATTATTTACAGCGTATGTGATTATTTACAGCGTGGTTAGGATTGTATGTGATTATTTACAGCGTGTTTTGGATTGTATGTGATTATTTACAGCGTGTTTTGGATTGTATGTGATTATTTACAGCGTGGTTAGGATTGTATGTGATTATTTACAGCGTGTTTTGGATTGTATGTGATTATTTACAGCGTGTTTTGGATTGTATGTGATTATTTACAGCGTGTTTAGGATTGTATGTGATTATTTACAGCGTGTTTTGGATTGTATGTGATTATTTACAGCGTGTTTTGGATTGTATGTGATTATTTACAGCGTGTTTTGGATTGTATGTGATTATTTACAGCGTGGTTTATGTGATTATTTTGGTTAGGATTGTATGTGATTATTTAGCGTGGTTAGGATTGTATGTGATTATTTACAGCGTGATGATTATTTACAGCGTGTTTTGGATTGTATGTGATTATTTACAGCGTGTTTTGGATTGTATTGTATTTGTGATTATTTACAGCGTGTGTTTAGGATTGTATGTGATTATTTACAGCGTGGTTAGGATTGTATGTGATTATTTACAGCGTGTTTTGGATTGTATGTGATTATTTACAGCGTGTTTTGGATTGTATGTGATTATTTACAGCGTGTTTTGGATTGTATGTGATTATTTACAGCGTGTTTTGGATTGTATGTGATTATTTACAGCGTGTTTTGGATTGTATGTGATTATTTACAGCGTGGTTAGGATTGTATGTGATTATTTACAGCGTGTTTTGGATTGTATGTGATTATTTACAGCGTGTTTTGGATTGTATGTGATTATTTACAGCGTGTTTTGGATTGTATGTGATTATTTACAGCGTGTTTTGGATTGTATGTGATTATTTACAGCGTGTTTTGGATTGTATGGATTATTGATTATTTACAGCGTGGTTAGGATTGTATGTGATTATTTACAGCGTGGTTAGGATTGTATGTGATTATTTACAGCGTGCTTAGGATTGTATGTGATTATTTACAGCGTGTTTTGGATTGTATGTGATTATTTACAGCGTGCTTAGGATTGTATGTGATTATTTACAGCGTGTTTTGGATTGTATGTGATTATTTACAGCGTGGTTAGGATTGTATGTGATTATTTACAGCGTGTTTTGGATTGTATGTGATTATTTACAGCGTGTTTTGGATTGTACGTGATTATTTACAGCGTGTGTTTGATTGGGGGGACACACTTTTCACTCAATGCGATTCGTTTATGAAGTTGCACATAACCTTTAAAACTATCACATCGTATTGCCAATTTATAGCATTTCTGTACACCTACAAATACTAAATAATACCAGTAAGAAGCTGATATCATCCTCGTCATAAACTTGTTGAATGTTATTGCAAAGACCAACGACCCCGTTGTGTAGATGGAACATATCCCTAACATACAGAAAGCTCTCCATGTCCTTGTGCAATATATTAGTGTATGTGTGCATTTGTTAAAAAGAAAAGGAACGTAATTGTTTTGCTTGTTCCTTTGTGCTCCTCAACTGATGAAGGTCGGGAAAATTAAAAAAATCATTATTATTTAAAGGACATTCACAAATGAAATTATTCTTTATAGTTAAACAAATTAGAAATCCAAAATGAAATTTTGAAAATTTAATGAAATCAAAATGCGAATTGAGTCTTGAGGAAAATGGAACTCTGACAACAAATACAGAAGAGTTAGCTCCCCTGTGCCGTTTGTACTCGAATTTATTTGGAGGTATTTTCGAAGCCTGTGATAATGTTCATTGACATCACTGTTGAAACAAACTAGACATGTCACCATGGAATTACATTGAAGCAATTAAATGTTATTATCTTTTTCTTTTTGGGTGAGTAAACTTTTGGGGCGATATAGCTTTTAAGGGCGAAATGGTTTGGAACGATATAGCTTGTAAGGACGAAATGGTTTGGAACGATATAGCTTCTAGGGGCGAAATGGTTTGGAACGATATATGTTATAGGGGCGAAATGGTTTGGAACAATATAGCTTGTAGGGGCGAAATAGATTGGAACGATATAGGTTAATGGGGCGAAATGGTTTGGAACGATATAGCTTGTTGGGGCGAAATGATTTGGAACGAAATAGCTTGTAGGGGCGAAATGGTTTGGAACGAGATAGTTTGTAGGGACGAAATGGTTTGGAACGATATAGGTTGTTGGGGCGAAATGGTTTGGAACGAAATAGCTTGTAGGGGCGAAAGGGTTTGGAACGATGTATGTTGTAGGGGCGAAATGGTTTGGAACGAAATAGCTTGTAGGGGCGAAATGGTTTGGAACGAAATAGTTTGTAGGGACGAAATGGTTTGGAACGATATAGCTTGTAGGGGCGAAATGGTTCGGAACGATGTAGCTTGTAGGGGCGAAATGGTTTGGAACGATATAAGTTGTTGGGGCGAAATGGTTTGGAACGAAATAGCTTGTAGGGGCGAAAGGGTTTGGAACGATGTATGTTGTAGGGGCGAAATGGTTTGGAACGAAATAGCTTGTAGGGGCGAAATGGTTTGGAACGATGTAGCTTGTTGGGACGAAATGATTTGGGGTTATGTGAAAAATTTTCGGCGGGATGGTTGCCAATATGGGGCGAAATAGTTTACAAAGTGGGATGTAATGAATACAAGTTTGGGCGAAATGGGTATGGGGACATGCTCGTGGAATATGCAGAGAAATGTATGTATTAAACTAAACGAGGAGGAGTTTTCTAACATCTTTCGGCCCTCCGATTTATTCTGACAGAATGTTGACAAAGACAATTTCACTGTTGATGGGTTTGAAATTTTCCCGCCATTTCGAAGATCTAAAATGAAAAATATGACATAGTTTGTATAAATCATGGTTGAAGCCATATATTAGTCCAGAGTATGTAACAGCAAATAGCATAATTTTGGTTAAAATTAATGGTAAACTTTTTGAGGATAATGGAAATATAGTAGGACGGGTACTGAGACATCACAGCAGGACGGGGACTGAGACATTACAGCAGGACGGGGACTGAGACACCACAGTAGGACGGGGACTGAGACATCACAGCAGGACGGGGACTGACACATCACAGCAGGACGGGGACTGAGACATCACAGCAGGACGGGGACTGAGACATCACAGCAGCACGGGGACTGAGACATTACAGCAGGACGGAGACTGAGACATCACAACAGGACGGGGACTGAGACATTACAGCAGGACGGGGACTGAGCGTTACAACAGGACGGGGATTGAGACATCACAGTAGGACGGGGACTGAGACATTACAGCAGGACGGGGAGTGAGACATCACAACAGGACGGGGACTGAGACATCACAGCAGGACGGGGACTGAGACACCACAGTAGGACGGGGACTGAGACATCACAGCAGGACGGGGACTGAGACATCACAGCAGGACGGGTACTGAGACATCACAGCAGGACGGGGACTGAGACATCACAGCAGGACGGGGACTGAGACATCATAGCAGGACGGGGACTGAGACACCACAGTAGGACGGGGACTGAGACATCACAGCAGGACGGGGATTGAGACATCACAGCAGGACGGGTACTGAGACATCACAGCAGGACGGGGACTGAGACATCACAGCAGGACGGGGACTGAGACATCACAACAGCATGGGGACTGAGACATTACAGCAGGACGGAGACTGAGACATCACAGCAGCACGGGGACTGAGACATCACAGCAGGACGGGGACTGAGACATTACAGCAGGACGGGGACTGAGCGTTACAGCAGGACGGGGATTGAGACATCACAGTAGGACGGGGACTGAGACATTACAGCAGGACGGGGACTGAGACATCACAACAGGACGGGGAATGAGACGGGGTTCGGAGTTAGACATTGCTTTGACGCCTAGTTTATACGATATCAATAAGATGATACGTTAATTGACCCACAAATTCTGCATATTTTGCTTCCTCATTTCGTCTCACTTATGACGTCACATAAATAAGCAATTGTGACGTCACTGAGTAACCTGCATTGTCCGCTGCTTGGCGACTTCAATCGGTGTACGATGGATTCGTTCTTTCCTGTTGGTTGAACGATGTCTTGAAAATATTTATCAACACGCATATTATGGAAGTTGATGAACGTCAACATACAGAGCAGCAGGAAGGGCCGTTAGAATCGCAGTCGTGCACTGTTTACGAGGAGCTTCGGCGATGCGGGCAGCTTTGTGATGTTGTTCTCAAGACTGAGACACGCGAGTTTCCGGTCCATCGTGCGGTCATGTCGGCTTGTAGTACGTATTTTCGCTCCTTGTTCACGCAAGAAGTATGCAGTACTGACCAAAGGGAAGTGGTCATTCCTGGAATAACGGCAGACATCATGGATATTTTCGTAGAATATGCTTATACCAGAGAAGCTAATATCACGGCGGAGAACATAGAGAGACTCCTGCCGGCCGCCGACCAGTTCCACGTCAATGGACTTGTGCGTGCCTGTTGCAAATTTTTGGCTAAATCCCTGGAGGCAGAAAACTGTATAGGTATTTACAATTTTGCCAGGACATACTTCTGTCACAACCTTAAGAAAGCTGCGTATCGGTATTTGATGTTCAATTTTAGTGATGTAGCAACAAAAAGTGCCGAATTCCTCCAGTTGACATTTGATGAAGTTTCCAGCATCATAGCATCCGATGATCTAAACGTGAAAAACGAAGAAATGGCCTTTACAGCATTAATTCGATGGATTGACCACGATTCCTCGAACCGGAAATGCCACATTTCAGCATTGTTAAAAACTGTCCGATTAGGACTCCTTTCCATACAGTACTTCACAGAGAAAGTTAAAAGTCATCCATATGTGAAAGAAAGTGACCTCTGCAAACCCGTAGTGATAGAGACTCTTAAGTTCCTGTACGATTTGGACATGAACGACAAGGCATTGGACCTGGCCAACCCCCTGGCACGCCCACGGATACCACATGAGGTGCTGTTTGTTGTTGGCGGATGGAGCGGTGGATCCCCAACTAATGTGATAGAGACGTACGATCCCCGCGCCGATAAGTGGATTGTTTGTGATACTGCAGATACGTGTAAGTTTGCCTGTTGGCGCTTGTTTATGATTATACGACGGTAAGATATTATGTAACCTTGGTAAATACTAGCCACAATATACCACATTTATAACACATATTAATTATCTACTAGAGACATCTTGTACGAAGAATGTCGTTTCGTTTTCATGTGGAACATAATGACTACAAACTGTCAATCAGATCGAAATAACCTGTATAACCGATCTGACTACCTGACTAGATGAAGTCCCTCATCAACCCCCCCCCCCTCGCTCCTAGAAGAAGATAGTCTATATTGTGTTTTTTATGTGTTTAAGTTCACCGAGCCTACCACGGGACTGTTACCATGCACAGACTGATCTATGTCATAGGAGGGTTTGATGGAATCGAGTACTTTAACAGTGTCCGATGCTTCAATCCGATGACAATGAAGTGGTCAGACACTGCCAATATGCACTCCAAAAGGTTGGTATGATGTCGTTACAGCAAACTAATACTATTTTCATGATAACGTGAAAACATCTTGACCTGGTAATGTGCTTCAGTCTACAATAAGAATATTTACTCAGGAAGAACACCCATATCGTCATCATGATGTTTGTTCATCGCCATGTGTATGGTATCGTACTGTAAATAGTTTTTTTAAAAGTTTTTTTTTTTTTATTTTTCCAAGTTACTTCGTACATTAAATAAAAACCATACACACTCTCTTTCACACAAAAATAATATACATACATAATGATGATGATGATGATGATGATGATGATGATGATGATGATGATAATGATGATGATGATGATGATGATGATCACATGACTACAAAAGTATAATTTAATAGGACCGAATCGGTGTGTTAACATACTGTAAACATACTGCTAGATACGGTCTCTGTCACTCAGCTGATGGAGCATGCTTTGGTTCAGTTGGTAGTGCTTGGCAATTATCACGGGTTCGATTCCTGGTTTGATCGGAGCACATGGCTGTAAAACCTCCCTGTTCTCTCACACCTATCATCGTACGAACGTGCTCCAAGAAAATCGAGATACATTGTATTGTATCAAGCAGTTTATAATCCATCACTGGTGTCGTAATATACCCACAGCCTCGTACAGTTTTCTGTCTGTACCACGTGGGTAGTGATATGTGTTTCTATCTACCTACGGTCCTATGTGTCGTTACGTGAACTTTACATAGATATAATAAAACCCTTACGTATATCACAGACCTGTATCCCCTTTTTCTAGGTGTTACGTGAGCACGGCCGTACTTGGTGACAGTATCTACGCTATGGGAGGCTACAATGGACATGATAGGCTGAAATCTGTGGAAAAATATAATCCGGCTAGCAACCAATGGTCTATAGTAACTCCGATGGGCCACGAGCGCAGTGATGCCAGCGCCACATCTCTAGAAGGTAATACTGACTTGTTGTTATCCCTAAATCCAAGCAATTCTGAAAATGATGTACAGATATTTAATTATGAGGTTGAATTGCACAGTAGTAAAAGGTTGGGTAGAATCATGTACCAGTCGTCAGATTCCCACTTAAAGAACCTTACAACTGTACCGCTTGTTTCCAATATAATCATGTACCAGTCCTGAGAATCCGTCTTTAGGGAATATCATTGTTAGGTTTCGGTAGAACCATGTATCAACTACGAGCACATTAGCCCCATTTATTTTCAGGACTTAAAATTCACCAAATCTTGCTATCTATCAGATTTTCTATCATGTTCTGGCTATCACAAATACTGGGGAAAGGTTGTAGCCATGGCCCACACTCGGCGTTGAGTGGTACAGCATTTTGGTTGCAGTGATAAGGCAATTGACCAGTTGTATTAAAAGTCATTAAAATGAAACTTGGTCAATATCCGATCGTCCCGGAAGCGACCGACCACGCAAAACGAACGCTTCGGATGACTGTCGTATATGATAAACGCAGTAGAGACGACAAGTACATTGTTTGTATCTATCGAAACAGTTCACCACAGGTTGACATCATATAGATCGGAAGGGCGGCGTCCCTACACTGGACAAACCTGGTACGACGTGACTCGCCATGACAGGTCCCGATTTCACTGTCGTTGGACCTTGCGACAATAGAAGGAACAATGTTCTGTTTTCCGTGTCCTGATTTTGTCTGCAGCACGACGACGGAACTCGAAAAGTGTGAAAGCGGGGAGGGAGCATTTTGCGAACTGCTACGTCGCAGAACGTGACCGCTTAGCGACGGAAGTGTAAAATCATACCAGACGTGGTAAATGACAATTTAGCCGGCAATTAATATCGAGTTGCGTCAGCAGAACTTTCCTGTGAAGGTATTAGACTGGCCATTATCCAGACTAGGTTTTCTGATAAGTTTCTGCCCCAAGAAATTTGTTTGCAATAGCTATTTCCGGTCTTCGGTAAACGTGCGTTCATCCATATAAAACTCGCGTATTTCACCATTTCAATCACTGTTTCAGTGTATTCTACATCATAGATGATTTGAAAGGCAACATCCTCAATACCCCAGGGTTCATGCTGACTATCGTTCTCTGCATCCCTCGAAAATGGCAGAATTGAAGTTTCCATGTGTGACCCCACATGAACAAGACCAGTTTGATCCTTTGATGTACATCACATATATTTCGAGGTCGCGTAACAGTATATTGTAATGGCTCCGAAGTTGGGTGTAGTTAGGCTCTAGACCAATCAATTCAATTGTGCCTTCAATTTTGATAGTGAGCGTAACCCCTGGGGTATCGAGGATGGAAATGTTGCTATTACGCATGTTTTAGCTTTCTTGCGCAACACGTGAAAGTGCAAGAGTTTCCCAAAGGCCTGACCGATAAATTGAACACAGTCTCTCCTCTAGTTATATGCCAGAGATCCCTATGACGACCCTGCTGTACTGCTAACCTAACACACGGTGTTCATACCCAATGCTAATGATATTATATATGATACTGACCCCAATGTCCTTCAATCTCGAAGCAAACCAGCTTTCCAAGCTGTTTGACAGCAGTTTTTGTCTGAATTTATCAATTACTTTATTTGTACATGATTGATGAGGATTTATAAAGTAGTGCTACCTTACTTTACAGCGGTATAATGTTCAGTGGAACGAAGTCTGTAGTGATAAGTTCTAATGTGAGATATATGATATAAAATATCATTCTCTCTCGAGGTTATCGTCGTCATTTCTGGGAAATATTCAAATCAGTCTTTATAAAACTTTTAGAAGTAACTTATCATTTCTAACCATGAGACACAGTATTGATTTTGTAGCTAGATCAGAAAGAAAACTATTCCCAATAGACATCGATTTTTATATTATGTACCTAGTATACTGTACTGTGTAGACGTCACATTTTACTTCTCTGTTATCTGTGTGATAGCAAGCATTACATAACTTATATGACTGCTCTTAAAATACATAATTGACTTAAGTTCCCATCTTTTAATTGTGACGTCATAACTTAATGGCGTCATGTAGATTGTGACGTCAACAAAAAAGAGAGTGATTTTATATCACACTTATGAAGTGCTGTTTTCACAAATGCTTGCAATCGATTATATTTCATCTGAGATTTATGATACTCATCTTGAATATTTCGCCAGAGGATTCTTAAAAGGAAAAAAATTAAAACTTCTGTCATAAATCTTACATGAAAGGTACGTGAAACTTATTTAAGCACCCCCCACCCCTTTCCCAATTTATGCTAAAACTCTTTGTCTTGTCTTATTCTTTCAGCTTGACAATTCTAAAATCCACCTCTGTGGGATGTAACAATCCTGCTTCCACAGATACATTCAAGATTCAAACGTAAATTATTGACCTACGTGTTTAAACATACATTTCTTATGCAAAATATCAGTTGAAACGTTGTTAATTGTTTCCTTTCTTGTAAGATATAAATATTTTCGGAATTCCGTAGTATCTACATTGTATATTTGTGTAACTGTAATAAATTCTGAATCTGTGTGGATTTTTGTTTGTTTGTAAGTAAAATCTGAGTCTGTATAGGTAACGGTTTGTTTGTAGTTAAGATCTGAGTCTGTATAGGTAACGGTTTGTTTGTAGTTAAGATCTGAGTCTGTATAGGTAACCGTTTGTTTGTAGTTAAGATCTGAGTCTGTATAGGTAACCGTTTGTTTGTAGTTAAGATCTGACTCTGTAGATAACCGTTTGTTTGTAGTTAAGATCTGACTCTGTAGATAACGGTTTGTTTGTAGTTAAGATCTGACTCTGTAGATAACGGTTTGTTTGTAGTTAAGATCTGAGTCTGTATAGGTAACGGTTTGTTTGTAGTTAAGATCTGAGTCTGTATAGGTAACGGTTTGTTTGTAGTTAAGATCTGAGTCTGTATAGGCAATCGTTTGTTTGTAGTTAATATCTGAGTCTGTATAGGTAACCGTTTGTTTGTAACTCTGTAGATAACCGTTTGTTTGTAGTTAAGATCGGACTCTGTATAGGTAACGGTTTGTTTGTAGTTAAGATCTGAGTCTGTATAGGTAACGGTTTGTTTGTAGTTAAGATCTGAGTCTGTATAGGCAATCGTTTGTTTGTAGTTAAGATCTGAGTCTGTATAGGTAACCGTTTGTTTGTAGTTAAGATCTGACTCTGTAGATAACCGTTTGTTTGTAGTTAAGATCTGACTCTGTAGATAACCGTTTGTTTGTAGTTAAGATCGGACTCTGTAGGTAACCGTTTGTTTGTAGTTAAGATCTGAGTCTGTATAGGTAACGGTTTGTTTGTAGTTAGGATATGAATCTGTATAGGTAACCGTTTGTTTGTAGTTAAGATCTGAGTCTGTATAGGTAACCGTTTGTTTGTAGTTAGGATATGAATCTGTATAGGTAACCGTTTGTTTGTAGTTAAGATCTGACTCTGTAGATAACCGTTTGTTTGTAGTTAAGATCTGACTCTGTAGATAACGGTTTGTTTGTAGTTAAGATCTGACTCTGTAGATAACCGTTTGTTTGTAGTTAAGATCGGACTCTGTAGGTAACCGTTTGTTTGTAGTTAAGATCTGAGTCTGTATAGGTAACGGTTTGTTTGTAGTTAAGATCTGAGTCTGTATAGGCAATCGTTTGTTTGTAGTTAAGATATGAATCTGTATAGGTAACGGTTTGTTTGTAGTTAAGATCTGACTCTGTAGATAACCGTTTGTTTGTAGTTAAGATCGGACTCTGTAGGTAACCGTTTGTTTGTAGTTAAGATCTGAGTCTGTATAGGTAACCGTTTGTTTGTAGTTAGGATATGAATCTGTATAGGTAACCGTTTGTTTGTAGTTAAGATCTGAGTCTGTATAGGTAATCGTTTGTTTGTAGTTAAGATCTGAGTCTGTATAGGTAACGGTTTGTTTGTAGTTAAGATCTGAGTCTGTATAGGCAATCGTTTGTTTGTATGATAGAAACATTTTTCGCGGAGTTCCTGGTGTCTGTAGGTAAGATCTGTTTTTATTTTCGGATTCTCTTTTGTCTGTAGGTAAGATCTATTTTTATGTTCAGATTCTCCTTTGTCATGCAGATTAGATCTATTTCTATTTTTTTCGGGTTCTCTTTTGTCTGTAGGTAAGATCTGTTTTTATTTTCGGATTCTCCTTTGTCTGTAGGTAAGATCTACTTTTATTTGTGGACTTCCTTGCTTCAGTAGGTAATATCTATTTTTTATTTGTGGACTTCCTTGCGTCTGTAGGTAAGATCTATATCTGTGGCGGATTTGACGGTCGAGAATGCCTACATACGGCGGAGTGTTACAACTCAACCACTGATCAGTGGACGGCCATCACGCCCATGCGTAATAAGAGGAGCGGTGTTGGTGTCATAGCATATAACGATCAAGTCTACGCGTTAGGAGGTTTCAACGGGTTTTCGCGGATGAACACAGCAGAACGCTTCGATCCAGTGTCCGCCAAATGGCAAACCATTTCTGAGATGTATAACCCACGAAGTAATTTTGGAGTAGAGGTATGCTACATCTGATATCCGAGACAAGGTATTTGTCAACTTTCCTACTATACAAGAAGGTTGACAGGAAGATGGAATTCTTTCTAATGAATCACTTCCGGACACGAGAGCAAAGTTATTTTGATAGGGTGTTAAAATAATCCTTTCTCTTAATTGTCGAAAGATCTTTGGCGACAGTGTTACCTTCCTGCTTTTAGTTTTTGTCAGAGTTATCGCCCTTCCAGGTGAAATCTGTGATATTTCAATTAGAATAAATTTGATTTTCATACTTCACACTTCCGGTGAAAGTTTTAACAATGAGACCTATAAGACGTGCTTGTTTCAGGTGATCGATGACATGATCTTTGCTATCGGAGGATTTAATGGCGTCACTACTATATTTAGTGTTGAGTGTTTCGACAGTTTATCAAATGAATGGTAAGTTTTGAGTTTATAACGCATTATCACCACCAAGCGATTCAACAGCAACGGTCACTTACGGATGTCAAGGGAGATTATAACAGAATGAAAACAATGAACTGACGAAAGTAGAAATCAAATAGAGGAAGAATGAAGATCAGAATTGTTTCACGGGACAGTAGTTATTTACTGTCCTTAAGATTTTATTTAATTCAATTCAACTTAACGGGTTATACATCCGCTATTACGGCCTTTCGGCTTGCAACGGACAATTCCTTTCAGTACCTGTTAATCTCCTACCCACAACACTAATACGCTTGTGTGTATTGATTTGTTTCCAAAACCTAAACAAGCTTTTACTTAAAATGTCATTTTTGTCCGATTTTATGTCGAAGCGATAAATCATATAAATTGACCGCCATGACTTTAAACTTACGGCTCTTTCTAACTTCGTAAATGTCACGGTAACAATTCTCCTGTTTTCATGAATAAGACAAAGTTTCACTTTCTCCTTACCTAATTACTGATTATTAATTTATCATTTGTGTATGCCATCCGAAAGTACTCGCATGTTGTTTTCGCTAAGAAAGGAGATTGGCACGGTAGTCGTTCACCGTGTTTTGTTTCATGGTTAGCTGAGCTTGCGGAAAACGATGCTATTTTACAGTAAATATGCGCTATTTCACCGATCAATTATTGTTTTTATACTTTTGAATGTACTCCAGCGGGAACATATTGGCCTTTTGCAGCTCTAGGCAACACAATATTTCAATAAAATCTTCATTGTTTTCAGAGCTGCAACATTGTAACTACGCGATTTTGTCAATATCCGCAAAATTGTCCGCAAGGCAGCAGTTGTCTCTTACGTTCTTCGCATTTTCCGCTAAAGTTGATATAAAAAGATTGTGTCCTTAACCATAAATCTGTCAGATCGTTATTTAAAGACCACGCGCAGTCAACGGATCTAAAAGTGAAATGAGAGGACTTGAACTATCAATGTTACCATTTTATGATATATATCACCCTAGTATAATAAAAATGAGACGTGTACAGTCTCCTTTATTCAGAAGTTTTATAGAATAAGTAATAAGTATATCAAATATATTTCGATTGTAGGTTTGATGCCACAGACATGAATCTCTACCGAAGTGCTCTCAGCGCATGCGTTGTCCGCGGACTACCCAACATCCAGAAGTATATTCATTGTCATAAAAAGACGAACGAGGAAACAGAATCCGGGGAGGCCGAGGGTACGACTGGGGGAGACGAGATTTAGGGCCCTGCTGATGTAAACATTGATAAAACTTATCGTTTTAATATAAAGGTATATTACAAACTGTTATGGCGGTGGAAGGCTGGTGATTTATACCTTCAGCGTACTGTTAATACTTTACTGAAATGGTTTTATTTCATATTGTACACCTGGAGCCCTTGTAGTTAGATACCGGATGTGTGTTTCAGTGACTACCAAAAATTAAATATCGAGATCTAGACATGTCTTGTTAGAAATAAAAACTCAGCAAATCCGCCATAAGTGTCATTTTATTGTCAACATCGTTATTTTGGTCCCGAAATGGTTCCAGTGTGTGTAATACATAGTGGTTACCTCCCTTTAAACACTAGCCCTGCCTTCGTGGTATAATCTTTGGTTGTTACAAATAGCTTGGTTTCTCCATCCTGAGTTAGATTATGTATGAACTGGTGCTTATTGATAAAGAGAACAGGACCAAGACAGTAAAAGATTTAACAAGTAAGGCAAGATTATTTCTCTGTGAGAACCTCCCGATCTGGTCACGTGGATAACAATCACGTGTAACGAAAATAACAAGTCAAACCTAGGGAAGTTTGATAACTCCTTACCGCATGATTTAGATTAGATGAAGAAATAAACATTTAGTAGACGATAAAACTCAGTATGTTTTACCTACATATAATCTTAAAGTTCAGGTGACATTTTAAATATTTCGGTTTACAATAAGCAGAGACGTATATATCACATATATACGTCTCTGCAATAAGCCATACGAGGGTGAAAAACATTCCAGGTATTGTCAAATCTATGAAATAGTAACTTTATTACAAAAATATACCAAAATTCAAAACCAGTCGGCAGTAAAATAGTTTATTAACCACCTCATTTTGTTTTGTTAACTCCCTACTTCCCATCAATAAAGATATACTGGTTTAATAAAAAGGAGGGCTGGAACGTAATTAGAAAATCACAAGATTTCTTAATTTCAGTTCCAAACAATTTTATTAACATATGAATACAAAGGCTTTAAAGATAAGGCAGGTCATTTCCCACACATAATATCAGTGGTACAAGACAAAATAGACTGACATACAATACAGTCATTATAACACACACATTATAACACAAGGGAGGCAACTCCTATCGACCTGAATTTGGTTTTGTTGAAATATGATATTTGAACTCAAAAACGTACTATTGGATCATATTCATATTTTAAAAATTTCCACTCAAAGACAAGAAAAATGTGTAATTCTCACTAGGCTATATATTTGTAAATTTGTGTTGAGGTTGGATTTCTTCACCCCATCAGATACAGGTAACAATTTCATTATCAGAAATGTCAACAAATATTTACATAATGTGATAAAATATATCAATTACGTATACGCTTACTTATTTGCTTCTATACCGAATTAAATATTAACATAAACAACACATGTGATCTATCACCCACACTCCCCAGTGATAGTATTGATGATAACTATCATTTAGTGTTACTGAATAAAACAGGTAAAATTAAATAAAAACAAATCATAACACAGCTTTCAGTATCGAATTACAAAATGTCCACACTTTGTATTTCAAGTTATTTTCCATTTGGAAATCTGAACAGAAAGACTTATACACAGTTGCAATAACATGTTATCAATTTACATACAATATTTATCAATATTTATTTAATATTTATCATGATTTTTTCGATAAACGAAACGTTTTTGTTTAATTCTTAATGATAACCTTGATGTTAAATTTGATTTTCTGCAATTAAACAATTCAGAGTTTAACATTACAGAAGAAGAGGCATGTCATGCTCTTAGAAATACGAAAAATTAAAAAAGTCCGCTGTCGGAATTACACTGGAAATTTTTAAATGGTTTTAGAATCAGTAAGGTCATCTGATGGTAACATCAATCACGTGACAACATAGGTTAACCGATGAAAGGTATCAATGCCAGATGGAAAGATAACAAATAACCACTGACACAGTCTGACGGACGGGACACAATATGGTGACCCGTTTAGGAACATCCAACTCGATCGCGCGAAGTCTTTCTATGTGCGTTTTTTTTTCTCGAAGAAGAGGAGGCGTGATTCTTGCAATGTATTATAAATAAATCTAAATTATAATTGCGTAGGATCCCAACTTCCTCCTCCGCCTTTCGCACGACTGGTCCTCTTCTGCGACGTGCCTACTCGGGGCTAGGTTAGGGCTAGAATTAGCCCTTGGGATTGTCTTCAAAAGTATGGTATAAAACCAGGTGTGGTAGGTATACACAGCCCCTCTCTACCTCATCTCTGTATCTCTCCTTTCTCTTCATACTATTTCTCTCTACCTCATCTCTGTATCTCTCCTTTCTCTTCATACTATTTCTCTCTACCTCATCTCTGTATCTCTCCTTTCTCTTCATACTATTTCTCTCTACCTCGTCTCTGTATCTCTCCTTTCTCTTCATACTATTTCTCTCTACCTTATCTCTGTATATCTCCTATCTCGTCATACCATTTCTCTCTACCTCATCTATGTATCTTTCCAAACTCTTCATACTATTTCTCTCTAACTCATCTCTGTATCTCTCCTGTCTCGTCATACTTTTTCTCTCTACCTTATCTCTGTATCTTTCTTTTCTCTTCATACTATTTCTCTCTACCTCGTCTCTGTATCTCTCCTATCTCTTCATACTATTTCTCTCTACGTCATCTCTGTATCCTACTCTCTCCTGTCTCGTCATACTTTTTCTCTCTCTCTATCTTTCTTTTCTCTTCATACCATCTCTGTATCTCTCCTATCTCTTCATACTATTTCTCTCTACCTCATCTCTGTATCTCTCCTTTCTCTTCATACTTTTTCTCTCTACCTCATCTCTGTATCTCTCCTTTCTCTTCATACTATTTCTCTCTACGTCATCTCTGTATCCTGCTCTCTCCTGTCTCGTCATACTATTTCTCTCTACCTCATTTCTGTATCCTACTCTCTCCTTTTTCTTCATACTGTTTCTATCTACCTCATCTCTGTATCTCTCCTATCTCTTCATACTGTTTCTATCTACCTCATCTCTGTATATCTCCTATCTCGTCGTACTATTTCTCTCTACCTCATCTCTGTATCTCTCCTGTCTCTCATCTTTTTCTCTCTACCTTACTGTATCTTTCTTTTCTCTTCATACTATTTCTCTCTACCTCATCTCTGTATCTCTCCTATCTCTTCATACTATTTCTCTCTACGTCATCTCTGTATCCTACTCTCTCCTGTCTCGTCATACTTTTTCTCTCTACCTTATCTCTGTATCTTTCTTTTCTCTTCATACTATTTCTCTCTACGTCATCTCTGTATCCTACTCTCTCCTGTCTCGTCATACTTTTTCTCTCTACCTTATCTCTGTATCTTTCTTTTCTCTTCATACCATTTCTCTCTACCTCGTCTCTGTATCTCTCCTATCTCTTCATACTATTTCTCTCTACCTCATCTCTGTATCTCTCCTTTCTCTTCATACTTTTTCTCTCTTCCTCATCTCTGTATCTCTCCTTTCTCTTCATACTATTTCTCTCTACGTCATCTCTGTATCCTGCTCTCTCCTGTCTCGTCATACTATTTCTCTCTACCTCATTTCTGTATCCTACTCTCTCCTTTTTCTTCATACTGTTTCTATCTACCTCATCTCTGTATCTCTCCTATCTCTTCATACTGTTTCTATCTACCTCATCTCTGTATATCTCCTATCTCGTCGTACTATTTCTCTCTACCTCATCTCTGTATCTCTCCTGTCTCGTCATACTTTTTCTCTCTACCTTATCTCTGTATCTTTCTTTTCTCTTCATACTATTTCTCTCTACCTCATCTCTGTATCTCTCCTATCTCTTCATACTATTTCTCTCTACGTCATCTCTGTATCCTACTCTCTCCTGTCTCGTCATACTTTTTCTCTCTACCTTATCTCTGTATCTTTCTTTTCTCTTCATACTATTTCTCTCTACGTCATCTCTGTATCCTACTCTCTCCTGTCTCGTCATACTATTTCTCTCTACCTCATTTCTGTATCCTACTCTCTCCTTTCTCTTCATACTGTTTCTATCTACCTCATCTCTGTATCTCTCCTATCTCTTCATACTATTTCTCTCTACCTCATCTCTGTATATCTCCTATCTCGTCGTACTATTTCTCTCTACCTCATCTCTGTATCTCTCCTATCTCTTCATACTGTTTCTATCTACCTCATCTCTGTATCTCTCCTATCTCTTCATACTATTTCTCTCTACGTCATCTCTGTATCCTACTCTCTCTCTCCTTTTTCTCTCTCTTATACTTTTTCTCTCTATTTCTCTCTACCTCTCTCTGTATCTCTCCTATCTCTTCATACTATTTCTCTCTACCTCATCTCTGTATCTCTCCTATCTCTTCATACTATTTCTCTCTACCTCATCTCTGTATCTCTCCTATCTCTTCATACTATTTCTCTCTACCTCATCTCTGTATATCTCCTATCTCGTCATACTTTTTCTCTCTACCTCATCTCTGTATCTCTCCTATCTCTTCATACTATTTCTCTCTACCTCATCTCTGTATATCTCCTATCTCGTCGTACTATTTCTCTCTACCTCATCTCTGTATCTCTCCTATCTCTTCATACTTTTTCTCTCTACCTCATCTCTGTATCTCTCTTATCTCTTCATACTATTTCTCTCTACCTCATCTCTGTATCTCTCCTATCTCTTCATACTATTTCTCTCTACCTCATCTCTGTATCTCTCTTATCTCTTCATACTATTTCTCTCTACCTCATCTCTGTATCTCTCCTATCTCTTCATACTATTTCTCTCGGCTCTTTTTCCTATCTTTTCTCTGCCTCTCAAAAGCCGTTAAATTGGACGCGAAACCCGTTCAATAAAACAAATTAATTGACTTCCTTAATTTCCAGGAATTTAAAGACAAACACAACATCATATCTGGCTTTCTTACTACCACATCCTGACTAATTATATAAAGGTATAAACAGCACACAAACAATAAAATAATGATAATCAGTCTTTTCCATTCATTCTCACTAATTCAGAATTAAAAACATTAAGGGGCAAAAGGAATTTTGCAACATACTTTGTCTAAATAACTATTTATTTACCGAGTAAATAGGGTGACATTTAAATAAGATAATGAAACTTGGAGGAGTATATATAGACCCCTTTCAGAGTTACTAAAACATCAAAATACCATAAACTAACACATATTAACAACAAATCCATATTTATTTTAAATTGGATTTGTA